CCATGATGTTTGATTTAATTGATATGATTAATTGGTTTAATATATATGTGATGTATGGTGATGTGATTAGGAGGATCGTGTACACTTGTGTGCTTGAATTTATTGGTTGTGTATGGTGATGTAATCAGTAGGATCGTGTGCACGTAGCATGCTTGAGTTATTTATTGTGCATTTAGTTTCGTGCATATCATAGTGTTTTGGTGGGATGAAATCGTTGCTCAGGAGGAGTGTATGCGATCATCCGTACTCCTTTGTGGAGAATGGTGGGGATAGATCATTGCCAAGGAGGGGTGTATGTGATCTATCCGGGGTTCGATTGAATGAACCAATGAGTCGGTACCACATGCATGGTGTTGAGTTGCATATTTGCATTATTGTGTGTTGTGTTTGATGATTGGACAGTAGGTCGTGGTTGATGCATGTTGGGTGATATTTTATATGATTGCTACCTTTATTTCATGTATCTTATTACCGATAATTTTGATCATGTTTTCTCACCCCTTTGTTGTTGTTGTGGTCTATACTTCTTCGGAGGTACAGATAATCCAGGTACTTAGCTAGCTTGGATAGTGGTGTGCGAGTAGAGTCTTAGGATGCTCTGATACGTAGCACGGGATTGGGTGTTTATTTGTTTTATATTGAACTTGCTTTACTCCTGTGACGTATCGTATTTGGTGAACTTGTTAATGAATAATTTTATGTAAATTGGGCGGATGGCCGAGAATATTGGATTAATGATTATTTCCGCTGTTTATTTTGAAAACCAACTAATGAAGATTTATGTTGAACTATTTGATGTGATATTCCACTTGTGAGGGGTAACTCTGATGTTTATTTGAAATAATTGTATTTTATTTAATTTTGGGGAAGTGGGGTGTTACAGAATCTACACAATTCGTTTGATGGATAATACCATGGGATGCATAAAATGAAGGGATTTTGAACTCCAGTCCATTATGAGTTCTAACAATATTGACTTTGTGGTTGTGTTGGGTTAGAACTAGGTTTATGAAGTCTATGATATGTTACATGGCCTCACTTTTATGCTTCATCGGAGTCAGCCATGTAAATATATTACAATCTTCTATTGTGATTAGGAAATAAACATGTCCTTGTACATATGGAAGAGAGATTGGTCCCCAAATATCAAAGTGCATAAGATCAAAAGGATGAATAACTTTATCGTAACTAGTAGAAAAAGGAAACTTTCTTTGTTCTGAAAAATGGAAAATGTCACAAATTTTTTTTTATCAACATTGATAAAAGGAAATTAAGAATGTATGATGTTCATTCTATTTACAGAAATGTGACCTAGTCTAAAATGCCAAATGGCATTGTTAGGTAAAGTGACAAATATTGAGATAGAGTTACATAATATCTTATTTGACATGACTAGGTAATAAAAGTGTTGAAGTTTTTCACCATAACCAATCATCTTCTTGGTGTTCTTTTCTGGAATCAAGAAAGTAAAATCATTATGTGCAACAGTGTTTGACACAATTTTGACACAAATATGAGATTTAAATAAAAAGAAGGCACATAAAGCACATTTGTCAAAATAAAATAAGAATAAACTTTAATGGTTCCAATATGTTTAGCTATTTCATAATGGTTAACAGACATCTTAACATGAATGGGAGTGATTTCATTGCATGAATGAAACCACTAAAGTGATCCACACATGTGGTCACTTGCTCTTGAATCAATTATCCAAAAGCCTATATGAAATTTTGACATGCAATTGAATGAGAGAAAATTGTATCTTGCTTACAAATTGATGAATGACCAACTGATGTGGAAGAGTGGACATGATTGGAAGAAACATATGGTTATTATTTGATGATAGACTGCACAAGTAGATGCATGAGATGATCATATTTCTCAGAAGTGATTGAAGTTGTACTTTCCATCACATCTTATGATGATTCATCCATATCTTGATCATTAGCATTTGTGTAAGTATGATTATCAAACTTTCTCTACATATGAGGAGGAAATCCATGCTTAGAATAATAGTTGGCAACGGCGTGATTGATTTTCACACAATGAGTGCACACATGATTTCCTTTTATGCCAAAAGAACCATATCCATAAGTTTTGACTTTGAATCTTTCTAAATCAGTCGCATTAAAAAGAGCCTTGTAGTCCTCAGAAGAGGAAAAACTCCGTTGTCTCTCGTGTTGTAACACCCTGGAGAATATTTTTGTTCATAGGAGGAAGAGGGTCCATAAGTAAGGTTTGAGATTTCACGATAGAAAAATTTGTATTTAAGCTAGTCAAAAAATGAACTTCATACAAAGTTGTGTGTTGTTGTCTAGAATTACTCATAACTTCACATGAATGCTTGACTCTACGACTAAATGTAGGAATATGAATGTATATCTCAAGTTTTTCCCATTAAATATTTAAATATGAATAAAACTTAGTCCCTAACCTATAAAATCTTGTTAGATTCCATAAATTTCTTGCATTAGTTCAGAGATGCACCCAAAATCACCTTGAGAGAAGCACTCCTAGGGATCGATACAAACATTAACTGTATTTTCCATGAACACTATGGATTGAATAATTGATTCGAATACATATTGAGAATTAAAGAATGCACAAGCATATTGCACAGATTCCATGCACGATATAGAGGATCAAAACTATCAATGATTGGAGAAATAGTTCCATCGACAAATTCAAATTTCAACTTTTCTCCAAATGCTTAAGACATTGAAAGAGCCTAAGAGTGGTAATTCCGACCATTAAGCTTGGAAGAAACACTACCTGATGATGGTCTATCACTTGGATAAACAAAGAATGAGCTTGATTCATCCAATTGAGTGTCTGTTGGTTGAGAATATACAACAATACCCAGATTTCATGGAGCCATGAATGGGAAAACGAAACACTTAGATCGACCATGCTCAGATACCATGTTGAGAAAGCAAAAACTCCATAAAATGAGGTTAAAAAAACTTAAATAAAATGAAAGTGATCAATGTATATTATTGCATCTCAATTATTACAATGAGAATTCATGAATTTATACAATCATCATGATGCTACACAATAAATAAAATGCACATTCATGTAGATGATCTAACTAACCTTATCATAACATAATTTAAAAATTCTGTTATGACAGCTATAAAAAACTTTAGTAACTTGCAGAGCAAGTTATCTAATTTTCATCATTCTTTCTTCCGGTGTATTGCATGCATAGTTTAAAAGACTCTTCATTATCATTTATTTGTCATTTAAAACTTTCCTCAATATTTGATTTTTCAGTAAAGAGAGAGTCCGTCGAGATGAATGTGTTAGAACAGAAAGTGACACTTGCATTCAGATTACCAATTGTGGCTAAAGGCGTCACTAGGCAAATTATTCCCATCAACAAGAACCCCCTTCTAAAGTTTCCATTATCAACCGTTTATTTCGATCTTCCTTTGATTAACTACGACATACAAAGGGTCCATATGTTTATCGAGGATATTTTGCTGATTGATTTGACATTGTACAAAACTAATCTTTTTTAGTTCATAATTGAATTTTTGCAATTTTTTTAAATAAAAGAATTTGTTTTAAGGATTGGACATGAGTTAGTTTCCTATTTATCATTAGATTTTAGATCTGAATAACAACTCAGAGAAACAAATATCTTATCATCAAGGGGCCGTTTGTTTCATGGTAAAAAAAAAATCAATTATTGAAATAATTTCCTAGACATAACATTTCGAAGAATAAATATTCATTCAAAGTGTTTGGATAATACTTTAAATTCCTGAGAATCTTTTAATTTTGAATTCTTTTTAATTAATAATATATAATAATAATATACAATAATCATAATAGAAAATAGTTATAAAAATGAAATATCATGTGATAGCAGGTAATACACTATTTTTATATAAAATTTGGTTAGTCAGTGTCTGAAATAAATGATTCCGACACATATACGATGATTAGAAAATTTGACAATGTGGGTAAAATTATTTCATGAGAATAAGTTTTTCTAAGAATAAATTTGTATTCCTTTATAAAAAAACATAAATATTTTTATTTCCAACCTTAAACTTACAAGGATCAGAATAAAAGACACAATAGAATAATTGTATCATATCCATTTTGATGAGATATCAGAAAAATATATAACTTAATTAAAATTTACTTATTTGTATCTCTTAATTAAAATTCTTATTCTAAATTTAGGTTGAGTTAGAAATGATAGAACTATTAGAAATATTCTGTTTTCCTGCGGATTTACCTGCGTATATTGACTTCCGCAGGAAACGTGTTACCTTCGATTCTTCCTGCTATTTTTTGTTCTAGCTAAAACCTTCGTGGATAATTAATATAGAAGATGAAGTCGCAGGAAAATATCGCAGGTAAATTAGATAAATTCGCAGATAACAATGCAGGTAAATGAAGTTTTCGCAGGAAATGTCGCAGCAAACAGAAAATCCGCAGGTACACTCGCAGGTAATTTCTCTCATGTTTCTAATTTTTGTTGTCGATTTTGTTTAATTTATATTTAAAATATTATAATTATTGTTAAATATAATAATATAAATAACAATAGTACTATATACCATAAGAGTGATAAGTGGGTGAAACCAAAATATTTTATTAATAACATTTCCTTTAACCTGCATTCATTGAAAGATAATAAATAACTTCGAAGATTGTATATACTCTTTATCTGCTATTAATAATGTTTTATTTATATAAAAGTTTAAACCATAACTTATTTGCAAAATTCAATTAAATAACAATTCTTATATTTCACCCTGTTACAAATTTTATGTGGTCAAAAACAGAATTTACGCTACCATACAATAAAGTTAAAGCTTGCAATTATAGCTACTCTCTTGGAAAAAGGCTCTCCAAAGGAAGCAAAACTCAAACTATATGGCGGCAATTGCTCCTCTGCAAGCTCCATCAAGAAAACCAGTTTCTGTGGTTTGTCCTTTAATAGCTCCTCCTATTGTTCCAATTATTGAACCTCCTAAAGTTCATAACTCCTGCAATTGTCAGAACTTAAATTTATTATCATGGAATCTGATGGAAAAATTACAATATAATCAGGATTTAGAAGTAAGAGTGTGAAAAGAAACAGAACCATACCTAGTAACCCATTTTATCAATCATCTCCATCACTGCTTGGTATAAAGTAGGCCTAGCCAACGGAAGTAAAACTCATAAACTCTATGGCGGCAATGGCTCCTGCAATTGCTCCTCTGCAAGCTCCATCAAAAAAACCAGTTTCTGTGGTTTGTCCTTTAATGGCTCCTCCTATTGTTCCAATTATTGAACGTCCTAAAGTTCATAACTCCTGCAATTATCAGAACTTAAATTTGTTAGCATGGAATCTGATGGAAAAATTACAATATAATCAGGATTTAGAAGTAAGAGTGTGAATAGAAACAGAACCATACCTGGTAACGCATTTTATCAATCATCTCCATCACTGCTTGGTATAAAGTAGGCCTAGCCTGATACAGCAACCAAATAGTTAGAATTCATGTGGCTATATTATATACAACCAGAATCTTTCTGGATTGAACAATTGATTTATGACACATCTTGGAAGAACAGGTAAAATAAGTTGCAAGTCTTGAGATACATGTGATAGTAAAATAATGAAATTCAATTCAACTGATAAAGAAGGCATACAATTGGAACGTTGCGAACTGCTGCCATTAGTAAGACGCTTGGCATCTCCACTGCAAATAAAAACATTGCAGAACTTTAAAACTGTAAAATTCAACAAACTTATATGATTATAGGGTGTGAGAAAGACATACAAACAATTATAGGAAGAAGTAGACCGATCTCGTCTTCCATCTTCAAAACAATAGCGGGGTATGGTGAATAATCCGGAAGATGACTTCCCTGAGGATTGTTATGAACACATCTCAAGTGTCTTCCATCTCTCATTTTGATCATGAAACCATCTGCCCCACTTCTCACCTCAACTAGAAACAAAATCACAAAACAATCAATTCTTGCACTGGCATTACACACATTTGGTTAACCATAGATCGAAAAAACCATTCACAACTAAAAACATCTTTGCATCACATACAGATAACTCGAAAAAGACCATATCGATCACACTTACATTTACTTTTATTTCTATTAACTTGCAGTAGCTAAACATACCAGCTTCAATCACACTTGAATTTGAAAAGTACGACTTTGATGTACCTTTGAGCTAGTTTTGATGATCCCTAAAATACTATCTTGTGACATACACTCCACTCCAGCTCCAATTCCTTCATCAAATAAAAGGAAGAGAATTAAGCCAAAATATTTCAAGGACTTGAGCAAAAATATATTAAAATACAATTTGAAAAATTACAAACCAAATTGTATTCATATATAACTTTATATTTTGGGCAATGAGTTCTTTATACGGTAGCCATTTTAGCAGTAAGTATTGCATCAATAGCTTCTCCCATAGACAGAAAAACACTTCCTCCAATTTCTGCTACAAAGTTAGCCAATCTTAGTTTGTGAATCACTTGCCACCTTGGGTTAGCAATGGATAACTGAAACAAAAAACATAGCAAAAGAGTTAATACTAATCCTCACCCGAACTCTATGACAAGTAAATTAACGCAAGACTATCTTTAGATATCATAAAATGAATGAAGCAGAATGAAAAGATCTGCTGTGAAATCTTACCACGACTCCATGTGACGTATGATTGTTATTCAACTCCAACAGAGAACCTATTCCTGCTGTGTCAATACTCACAAGACCTATCAAATTATAAAGACAAGCATTCAACAAAATATATCTAAAATTCCGAGACACCCACTATATTATTTATGAAATTTTTAATTAATTAGTTTGTTAATTTTAATCCAAGAACACTCACTTGATGCATCAATAATGATGAATTTGATGCTACTTTCTCCTTTACCATTTTCACCTTTTTCTTTTTCAATCACCCATCCCTCAATCCTTTTAAACAAAATGCATATGTATAACAAAAGATTGCTATATAAATAAATGGAAGGCAAGAACTAAATCCGGGCACATGTATCAAGTAGGCTTAGAAATTTCAGCCTATTGGTATATAAATAAATGGGCATAACAGGCTAAGGATTATAGTAAAGATAAGGAAGGCAAGAACTATTTTTGTGCACGTGTATCGAGTATGTTTAGAAATCTCAGTTTATTGGTATATAAACAAATGGGCATAACATGCTAACTCGCTAATCGTAAAAGATCATTGACACTTACCAGCCAGAACTGCGGCTCCTAGACAAGAGAGTACTCCAGAAAGGAAGGAGTTAAATGGAAATGTTCCAACCAAAGCCATGTAATGTAAACTACCTATTCATAAAAAAAAAATTGTAAGTCTTAATAAGAGTATTACATGTTAACATAACATAGTTTCCAACCTCAAATCTTCACCAAAAACTAATTTCTATTTGCAATTTTTTAACTGTTAAAAGTGAGAACTTGTTTGTTATACTAGAAACTGGAAGAGTATCCAGTAAAGCAAGATAAGATTAGTAAAGTAGGAGACTGAATACTTACCTCCATATGGAAATCTCGTCAGAAGCTCTGTTTCAGCAGCTCTCTACATCAACTAAAGCACAATATTTAATTTTGTAATTAAAATGATAAATATCTCGACATCACATTTACTTTAATTATTACAGCCCAGAGAGAAATTAAGAATATTAAACTAAATATTAAGAAGCAACTTATATATATAATTCCAAAAAAATGTATAGTAAAAGATTAACAATGACGACAACAAAAAGAAAAGGGTCAGCCAAAAAATATTCATGCTTCTTCTCTTCAAATGACCATACAATGACTTGGCCTATCTCTAAATGATAGAAACCTAATCCATTTTGAAAAATGATCGTGTCATTGGTTGGTTGAATCAGTAAGGAAGAAAGTAAAATGAATCTTCTAGAATCAGGAAGCGTAATAAACATCAAAAATCTATTATAGAGTATCCGGAAAGGGGAACACAAGCATACATAGTGATTAGGATGAAAGTTGTCAAATAGGAGTTTATGGGAAGGTATTACAGTTTCTTTATATTTCTAGCTATTAGCATGGAAGTATGTAGCATGTAAGTACTCTCTGGGGGAATCTTTTTCTTAATTTCTTTTGCAGTACAGGTCTGTCAAAGGGTGAATTGCAGTGGTCAAAAATCTTGTGTTGATAGTATAGGCAATCAAGAAAGTAGACTACTTTTCGCTCTATCATAACCTGTAAATGTTAAATGACTTATAACCAAGAATAGTAAAACGGACATTACTTTTTTTGATTCAGAAGCCAGGATATGCAATAAAAAATTTCAGCATTTTGTACAATGTTTTACTAAATTTTTTTGCCTTTTTCTTTTGACGAATCAATAAAACTTACAACAATTCTAAGACTTCAAATTTAGAGACAAGGATTTGCAATAGGAAAGATTCAGCCCTTTGCACCAAGTTTTACTAAAAAAACATTTCCTGGAAAATGGTGATTTGTTGCACAAAGATAACATAACCATTAAGTTTTAAGTCATACACATCTAAAGTAGTAGAGATAAATAACCGAATGAAGTTATCTGCAGCTTCTTCAACAAGGTTCCACAAGTGTTTTCTCTAAGAAGAGGGTTTTGAGCTTCAGTTACCGCCATTGAAGTTCCAGAGCAACCTAGCCTGCAAACCCCCACATAGAAAAATCATAAGAAATTCCTTTCTCCATCAACTCACAGATAGTTTATCTCATTCTAGGGAAAGAAAACTAGTGGCTTTGACTAATCAAAGACTATGGAAATACAATTACACAAAAGAAGCCATAAAAAGTACACAATCTGAATTCGAAATCAACAAAACCATAGTGAAAGCAAAACTCAAAATTCAATGCTACTAAAAACATCGAACTTCAGTGCCCTAAATTATCTATCCCAATAGCGAAAACTGACAAAATCAAATAAGAATTTTAGAAAATTAAGCAAAAAAAAAATTGCAAATTGTGATAGTACTAATGCTATTTGTGTTAATAAGGTTGAAAATCACTACATTCCATGAATTGCAACTGCAAACAAATGTCCAAAAAAAATCAAGCTCATTCAACACATTTATAATTCAATGCATAGTTACGCTAATCAAACTCATTGTATATAGCATCACAAAAAACGATTTCACCAAACAAAAATAGAAGATAAACTAATCAATTCACTGACAATAACAAATCAACAAGAAGAGTACATTACACTGATAGACAAACAAAAAAAGAAATCAAACTGAAATAGAACTTCAAAGAAACGAACGGAGATTGAAGATGAATGATAAGATTTAAGAGAGCATGCAACGAGTAAGAATCGGATCTCCGAAGTTAGTACAGATCAGAGGAAGAAGATGAAAATTGTTAGAGAGAAACGTTACCATATGAGGTTGGGTTAGGGTTAAGAGTCAGATCTGGAACAGTGTGAAGAATGAATGTGAGTGAATGTGAGTGAATGTGAAAAAAGAGTGAGTAATGTGTAGTTATAATAATGGTGGTAGTATCAGTAAGTGAAGAATAAAGATTAGATTTTAGATTATTATATTAAAAAGGAAATAGATTATTATAATGAAATCATTTTTTGTGAACGTTACCACTAAAAAATTTGATTGTGACTTAGACTAACCACGTGCTCGGTGACTGTGAGTAGATAACAATTTACTTTTTGTGTTAATAATTTAAATTTGTTTTGAATTTTATATTAGAATTTAATTGATATACTATTTACACACATCTAATAAAATTAATATATCAAATAAAATTAATATTTTTTAAATAAATTTAAATTTATTGTTAAAATTTAATTTAAAATTAAAAAATTTCACAATTCACATTAAAAATAATTAATAAAATAGAACAAATAGAGATTAAAAATATCATTCTAATTTTATAAATTTTTTTCAAAAAAATTTACAACAACTATGAAATCTTAAAAAATGTCTTAAATAGGAATAATATATGTACTAAAATTATCTTAAAGAAAATAAATTTAAAAAATAAATAAAAAATAATTTTTGACAAAATTCAAACAAAAACTATTATTATTCAATAAAGCAAAAAAAAATTGTTGTAAAAGTTATATTAAAATAGGTTTGTTTTTATATTATATATATAAATCTAAAAAATCAATATGTCAATTATATTTTAAAAATTTATTTAATAATAGTAAAAATATAATTAAATAAATAAACTTATATTTTTACAATTATATTTTACAATTATATCATGAACTTATATTTTTTATTTTTCTAATTTTTACAACAATAAAATATTATTAAATAAATAAACTTATATTTTACAATTATATAACTTATATTTTTAATTTTTCTAATTTGTATAACAATAAAAAAAGTATTGAATAAATAAATTTTCTTTAAAAAATAACTAAAAAAACTCAATTAATATTATAAAACTTTCTTAAGAAAAACTAAAATTTAATATAAAATTAAAAAATGTCTCAACAACATATTCTTGAAGTGTTTTATAATTTTATTTATTAATAGTAAAAACATAATAAAAATTTAAAATAAACTAAATAACTCAAAGCAAAAGTCGATGAAACTTTACAGCAAACTCCGCAGCAAACTTCGCAGCAATTCCTGCAATATCCTGAGAATTTTGTGGTTCCAATGGATAACTAATTCCTACGAAATGTATTGCAGTTAAATCCGCAGGAAACTTATATTTTACTTTTAAAATTAAAATCGCAGCTAAAGTCTCAGGAATTCCTGCGAAATTGACTGCTACTTGAGTTTTCGCAGGAAATAATGTTTCACAATACAAAGGCGCAGGTGAAGTCGCAGGTAAAGCTGTGGAAAACTTTCCGCAGGACAATCCGCAGGTAATCTGTGTATTCCTCGTAATGGAATTAACAAATACATTTTAAAAAATTAAAGTTTAATATAATATAA